TCAGAATAGCGTAAGCATATAGTCTTTCACTACCGGCCAGACCTGCTTCTATACGATGACTGGCAGTCCGTCGTCTCCAGGTGCTTTCCATGACTTGGCGGCGTACAGCTGCCTTTCCACCTCCTCGAGTGTGATAGCTGGCATTTCTACGGGTGCTCTCTGCGGCCTAGCTCCCTCGTCGTCGATGCTGCTAGGAAGCGGAGGGAAGAAGGTGTTGAGCAACTCCTCCGCTTATTCTTCAAAGTCGCTCGTAGTTGTCCCGTCCGTTCTACGAAGTGCTGGGACTATCCCGAACGCCTCGTTGCCCGCCTTCAGATACTTGGCCGCGTTCTAGCTGTTGTCGTTGTCCGCCAGGAAGTCATCCTAGTGCTTTCTCTTCTGCTGTCGAATGGCATCATGGTACTGCTTCGACGCTCCTTTTGCTATCTCTTCTAGGTCCGGCCGAGCAACCCCTGTTCGTCTCGCGGCTCTCGCTCGGTTCCTCTAGTGCGTGTAGATGCGGCGTAGCTGTGTCAGGTCCTGCGTCCACCACCTCTTTGCATATGGTGACGCCTTAGCTGCGTCGTGCCCGCTGGCGGAGTCACGCTGAGCGCCCTGGCGATCCTGTCGTTGATTGCTTTCCACGGNGCGTTCTTGAGCAGAAGCCGCTCTTGCTGCTGTGCCACTGGCGCGGAGCTATCAAAGACTGTGTCGATCATTCGGTGGTCAGAGCCGTGCTCGGTGTCGTGGGCGGCGCATCTCAGCACCGTGTCTGCCAGCTCTCTTGACGCTAGCACTAAGTCAATTGTCGTCTCGTACTCCCCGCACTGCCATGTCTTGGTCCCGCGCGGGAGCAGGCTGCTGAGCGCATGTTCTGTCATTAGATCGATAATCGGGTCTGCCTCGCCCTGTCTGACCAGCGTCACATCCTCTCCTCCCCACAGCTGGTCGTGCTGATTGAAGTCGCCGGCTAGCACAACGTCCACCCCCGTACCGGCCCTTCGTCTTGTCTCCGCAATCACTCTGTCTATCTTTTTGCATGCGTCTCGCAACGCCTGCGGGTTTCCTCCTGGTATGTACACCGACACCACCAACACCCGACGCTCGTGTAGCCGGATGATCGCTGCTGTCAAGTCCGGCGACTCTACTCGTACCTGTTC